TCTGGTTACGTGCGAGGTCCACACTTCACTAGGGTGTGGTGTGCTGCCACTGGATGCAGAGTATCTCCTAAAGACAAGGAGGCTACCAGGGCACATCATGACCCCGACTACAGAGCAGCACGAAAAGTTTTAGAACATCAGGGTATATCACTCTTTTTTTTTAATACGATGTACAAAATGCTAAGAAATATGCTTGCATGCATATATAGGAACTCCAACTTATACTGAGTGAGGTGGCTCATGGAGGGAGGTTACGCTAGACAAAATAGCAAAGCTCATTGGACATCTGGTTTATATAGGTATTATTCACATCACTGGTATCCTTATATATTTGAACATTTGGAGGCTTTTATTGCAAAAAAACAATTTACTGAGAGAAGTGTACGAGTTCACTTTTGTCTAAAATAAACAAAAAACCATGCAATGCTTCACAGCATGGCAGGAGCATCAAAACAGCATCTTGGTTCCGATTTTCTTTGTCTATGTTAATAGGAACATTTCCTACATTTATTATTGTTTATACTGTTCCTGGATCACTTATTTTCAAAATGTATATTCTGAATTTTCTCTGTTCTGAATACTTTTGCCTTTATACTGTTTTTTTATTGCACTGTTTACCAGCTGGCGACCGAAAATTATACTTTTCCCATTTTTATTCATTCTAAAATATTTTCGGTGCTCTACAAGATATGTTTTTTTAAAATAGCATTATATTTAGCAAAATTTGGTATGCTGCAATGTGTCCTAGAGTAATTTTCAAAATGGCAAAAACAATTTTTCCAAGACATATGAAATATAACCACTTTTGCATGGTAACCGAATAGTTGAAACGATTGTGCATTAATTTGAGGCTTCTTGAGTCCAATAATTCATTAGAAAAGAAATTAAACAACTTGTCCAACCATTGCTTGACTATGGGTGTGCACTGTGTTGACAGAGAAATCTTGTTTGTGCATAATGACACCTACACAAGAGAAGTGGCTGAGGCATTCCACATACCTTGAAAATCGTGTGATTGCATTAGCCAACCTTTGCTGGCATAATTATCAAAAGAAACAAGCCTGTTAAAAAACAGGATTGACTAGGATGGTCACATGAGGCTGTGTCTTATGGTTTGACAAGCACATCATCTTTGTCAATGAGCATGCGTGCTCACCTTTCAGAAACATACATGTTGCTTTTTGATAAACCAGTCACAAATTCAACGCTATGTGTGTGACCTTCCTCCCTTCATCCTCTGTCTAAGCGCTGCTTTATATTTCTATCATGGAACCCTATTAACTCGCTCAATCTGCCCGTTTTCTTAAAACCAAGTGAACATATTTTGAGTGATTATGTTATAGTGACTTGTGTTTTGCTACGCTCGTCACTAAAGTTTCAACTGAAAATGAAAAAAAAGCTTACGTTTGATAGGACAAGAACACTTATTAGTTCAACACCATAACAACAGCTTCAGAGGCATATTTGAAAGTTTTTTTCAGTGCACAAACATAGCAAAAAGGGACAGGGTACACAGAAAGAGCACCGACTTTAACTAACTTTATTTCACAGAGTGGCAAGAATATACATGCCTAAAGAAGGATGATTACACAACACGAAGATAATATACAAGCCATGAATAATGTGTCTGTATCAAAGCGCGTGTGACGGGTTCTCTGTTGCCTCAAAGCCCAGCCAGGTAATCACGTTCTGCCTGTGATAAAGCAAGCGATGAGATGCTTCCACATTTATCACCTTAGCAAGTATATTTTTTTGGCTTCAATAATTTCTCTGGTAAGCCGATTCCTATGCGTTGCCAATATAGAGCACTGATCAAAGAGGGGGGTGCACCCAAAATCTCGGCAATGAATGCCAAGGTGCCCTTGTACCACCATTGTGCACATTGTTTCAGTGTTCTCGGGGGCGGTCATTTATGCACCTGCCGGTTTGGCCGACGTAGACGCACCCACACGTTAGTGGAATCAAGTAGACGACTCCCACTGCGCGTGGGACGTAACAAGACGTGCGCAACGGTGCATGAGGCAGAGTTTGCGCGAGGTGTAGTAACCCGTTTGCAAAGTCTCTGCAATTTTTCCAGGGCAGAAAAAAACACAAGAACGTTGGCGGCTTGAACAATTTTTATTAGCCTGCGTGAGACCTCGTGCACGTTAGGTAGTACGACAGACCGGCTCTTTCCGACACTGCTGCGCTAATCCTGCTTGTCGCCTCGCTTCACGACAGTGACCAGCTTTTCCGCCACCGAAACGAGAGCATGTGCGGGGTAACCAGCTTTGATCAGACGCTCCACTTGTAGAGCAAAACTGAGGTGTACCATCTGGGGGCAAGACTTCTTTATGGCATTGGCAAGGCAGAGGTTAGCAATGCTCAGCTTGACCAATTTTGAGTGAGCTGAACTGAAAGGCAAAAGTGGCTTGCCACTTCTTGGTTCATACATCCCAAGCAAAAGCTTCAAATCTAGAAATTTCAGGTTATTATCAGTGGGCGATTCATACGTTAAAACATGTGGTTTCATGCCCTCTCGGAAAACAGTCAACGCGTCAGAGAAAATGGCCTGGTAATTTCGACTATCACATTTCAGTAACACTAAATAATCATCGACAAAACGGCAAACTTTAAAAACTACAGAGTCTTCAAGCTTGTTTGACAAGACACAATCACGATGTGGTAGAAACATGTCACTGAGAATGAGTGCCAAACATGAACTGATACATACTCCACTTTTTTGTAGATAGTTTTTGTCATCCCATGATACAAAGGTGGCCTTTAAATAAAAACCGAGTAATTCTAACAGGCTGCTGTCATGAATTCCAGTACGTGTTTGGAACGCTGATGATCGGAAACTGCCTATGGATTCCTCTATATATTTAAATATTTGGTCATGCGGCAAGAGTAAAATGTTCTTAATATCCACAGACATTGCCTGGAGCCCCGTGTTAGTTCGCCCAAGAATGTCAATGACAGTGTCAGAGTTTTTGACCTAGCGACAGTCAAGGCATGTCACACTTGAACAGAGTTGAAAGCCACGCTTGCCGCCGTTCTAGCTTCTTTCCATCACGATAGTATGTACCAGATAAGCATTGCTAACTTCTGCCTTGCCAACGCCTTAGAGGAGTCCTGTCCCCACATGGTACACCGCAGCTTTGCTCTGCAAGTGGAGCGTCTGACCAAAGCTGGTTACCCCGCACATGTTCTCATTTCTGTGGCGGAAAAGCTGGTCACTGTTGTGAAGCGAGGCGATAAACTGGATAAGTGCAACAGTGTCAGAAAGAGCCGGCCTGTCGTATTACTTTACGTGTACGACGTCTCACACAGGCTAAAAAAGACTGCTCGAGCCGCCAACGTTCTTGTGGTTTTTTTCTGCAACGAAAAAATTGCAGAGACTTTGCAAACGGGTTACTACACCTCGCGCAAACTCTGCCCAGTGCTCTGTTGCGCACATGTTTCGTTACGTCCCACGCGCAGTGGGAGTCATCTACTTGATTCCAATGACATGTGGGTGCGTCTATGTCGGCCAAACCGGCAGGTGCATAAATGACCGCCTTCGAGAACACTGAAACAATGTGCACATTGTGGTACAAGGGCACCTTGGCATTCATTGCCGAGATTTTGGGTGCACCACCCCCTCTTTGATCAGTGCTCTATATTGGCAAGGCATAGGAATCAGCTTACCCGAAAAATTATTGAAGCCGAAAAAATACACTTGCTAAGGTGGTAAATGCATAAGCACCTCATCGCTTGCTTTATCACAGGCAGAACGGGATTACCTGGCTGGGCTTTGAGGCAATAGAGGACTTGTAACACGTGCTTTAATACTGACGCATTGATTATGGCTTGTATTTTATCATGTTCTGTAATCATCCTTTTTTTAGGCATATATATTGTTGCCAATCTATGAAATAAAGTTAGTTGAAAGTCAACGCTCTTTCTGTCTATCATGTCCCTTTTTCCTACGTTTGCGTGCTGAAACAACTTGCAAATATGACTACGCATCAACTATCCTAAGCTTGCACTCTTGTGAGCTTCAGAGGGCTCTCAAACAATCTTTCATTTCCAGATAATTGAAAAAAATCAAAATCACTTCACCTTAAAACACATTAGCAATGCTGCACTTTCACCAAGTTTTAGGAAGGGTGCAACCTCTTTCACTGAACTATTCAGTTCCCCTGGAGCCCTGTTATAAAATTAATTCCATAGTGTTCGAGGCCCAAGAAGCTTGTGTGGCTTCTAAAGAATTAAAGCAATAAAAACTCATCAAATAAAGGTTGTCATCCGTATCAAACACGCTATGACTGGACATCCGCAAGCTTGCGAGATGTAGACATGGTCTGCAGATATACAAAAAACGTGTCACCGAGCTGCAACAGCTCAAGGAGGTAGCAGACACGTTAACAAAACTAAAGCGAAAATTCGCGAGCACTAGACGACGTCACAAAGCCCGACGTGAGCGAGGAAAAATTACAGCACAAGTGCTTTCAATGGACGTTAGAATACCTGGCACTTCATCCCTCACTCCATACTTTTTTTTTTCTTTCTGAAGCAGAATGCCTCGCCAAAGCACATTCATGATAAGAATGGGTGGGGTGGGGGGACATTATTTACTGACCGCTGCAACTTCGCTCCAGCACGCCCATCTCTCTTTCTCCAACCAGTCATCTGCGCGTTCTGGGCCATCCGGCGCAAGAAAGCGGTGCATAGAAAACTTCGACAAACTCAATCCACGGAGCCTACTTCAAGCGAAGAAAAAAAAAACAGAAAAATGAAACTCAATGCTGCCTGCGCGGCACGTCTTGTGCAATTTCACTGTCACCTCGAACAGGGCGCATGCGCTTTGAACACCATGCAACCTTCAGCACGTCGTACAATGCGGAATCTGCAATGCCGAGCGCGATCAGCACTAGCGTCCACCGCCACGAATCCGTCAAAGCGTGCAGCATGTCGCGTAACGCACACCGATCCGAGACTGACGACGCAAGCTTCATCAACACGGCAGGTCAACTCACCTCATCGTGTGCCTGTGCTGGTCAAGAACTCGAACAGTTAATCATTGAGTGCCGCCGCTTATCTGCAGCAGGAGAGAACTAACATTCCTCGACACGCCGCGTACGCGCTGAAGAAGTGACGCAGAACAACAGCGGCAGAAGCGGCGTCCTCTCAGCTGTCACTCTTTCACGCATGGATCGCCGCTCACGCGACGCACCTGCGACGCAACAACAGCGACGACTCGGCGCACGGCCTTTGTCGAAGCCTGCTGAGTCGCGTACACAGGTTGTGGTAAAACCCGCTATTGGTGACAGCCTTCACAAACCACCGTCGAAATGACAACGCGACGCATGCTCACTGTTGACGCGTCATAACGTGCACTGGCGGAAATGGTATTTTGAGGATGCGCATGAAGTAACAAGCGCCACTTTGTCAGCGGAACACACACAAAAGCACTTAAGTACTCGACTGCAAGGTCAACAACAATCGCCGAAAGAGATATAGATAACTTTCAATTTTTCCACACGTAGATCGGATTGGATTCGTTAGCGCTATGAACAAATACCGTTGTAGGTGTTCTGTGGTTGTATCGGTTCATAGCCTCGGTTGTACCATCTACTCTCGTTGTTGGTCTTTAAACGCAACAAGCACATCAAACTTTTAAAGCATATAATTAATAGTACGTTAATAAGCACTACTAAAATTTAATTACTGCTTTTTGTGGCACATACGCACTACTTTTGGCCAGTTTAGCGAGTTTTAGATCAGAGCAACGCGTTGAGACAGGACACCTATGCTAAAACTCAGTCCAGTCACAGCAACACTGACAAAATCACGCATGCGCAGTTTCTGTGTGGTTTCTTTCCGCGCACGTGTTATACCTATACTACAGTGGCTAGTATAACTGGTAGGTGTTCTGTGACTGTACTAGCTATACACTGTGTTCTGTGGCTGCTGTCTCTAGCAGAGAGGTAGAAATTTGGCACCATGAGGATTGAGAAGTGTTATTTCTGCTCATCGCCCATATACCCGGGCCATGGCATTCAATTTGTGCGCAATGATTGCAAGGTGAGTCGTCGACGCTGCTGGAGCAAATTCACATTTTTGTTGTTGTCATACGTGGACAACTGCCGACACGCTTCAACGGGCAACCATTTGTTTTCCGCAGATTTTCAGGTTTTGCAGATCAAAATGTCACAAGCTTTTCAAGAAAAAGCGCAACCCGAGGAAAACCAGGTGGACCAAAGCCTTCCGCAAGGCTGCCGGCAAAGAGCTCACTGTCGACCCGTCCTTCGAATTCGAGAAAAGGCGAAACGTGCCTATCAAGTACAACAGGGAGCTGTGGCAGAACACCGGTATGTATGACCGTGCTCTTTCCCGCATATTGCCGAGACTATCTTGCACGCCCTGGTTCGTCTTTTTCTTGCAGTGAGAGCGATACAACGGGTCGAGGAAATCAAAGCTAAGAGGCAGGGTCATCACGTCATGAATAGGTGAGTGAGCGTCGTGTTGTTTACCGCGCATGTCCAGAAAACGGGCGTATATTAATTTTTAGGCGTGAAGCTCTTTAGGGTGTGGGCTAGTTTTTTATCGTCCATCGTAGCCCACGGCCGGACTTGAGGAGTGGCACGTGCACTTTCTTACGCCCTGCGCACACAAAGAGGGAACGGAGAGCTCGTTGCAGCGATCGCTTAGTGGAGGCATTTCGAACCAGCAGACGCTGTCGGAACAGAACCGAAAACGAGAAAAAAAAAAGGGGGGGGGGGGGTATGTTTTACCGGAACGAAAACGTACCCAGAACGTTTAGTTCCGGATTAAAAACGAAGTATTTTTGTGTTTTTCGGTTTACAGAAAAACCGAACTCATGCAACGTGAGCATCAAGGCATAACTCGGGGTACAGAATCAGTGCGCACCTCAGACAGATATCCCAAAGCAAAGATGTTGAAATATTGCACAAAATAAAAGAAAGTCTCCACCAGAGCTGTTTGTATTAAAGTGGACATTTGTGTGCCTCTTGCACAGGCCGTCGTGTAGTGGGCATTGTCGGCGCTGCAGTTTGCTTGATCAGAACAGCGGTCGCACATATTGAATAACGGGCACCTTCTGAGATCATGCTCACACTCTTGACACAAAACATTGAGCCTGCTCTATAAATTTGATTTGCTCTTGAGAAAATGAACCACTATAAGCTAGGAGCACTGCTTTGAGTTATTTGATTACAAATTCAATGTACAGTTACTTGCGCTTATCTTAATGTGGGAAGAATTTGTTTTTCGCTTGTCTCGGGTCTCTAAAGGGGAAATCTAATGTCCGCCGTTGTGGATCAGTGGCTACGGTTCTCCGCTGCCGACCCGAAACCCTGCCCCTGACACGCAAGGCAGTCTTCGCAGAAAAGCAGATCTCTCATCTGCCTTCAAACGTCTGCAATTCAACAATGCTGTTCGTTTCATTGTCATTTAAGAGCAATTAGTTATTTACAATGTGAAGCTTTGCATCACTTGCTTTTTCTAAGAGAGGCACTGGTACGTCTCATGTTACTGTAAACATTGTAGCACTTACTAAAGGCGTGTTAACAAATATGAACAAATAAAAGCACGGTATTTGTCCTACCTCTGTTGTATACAATGTGCGATTGCATACCTTCTGCATCATCAGCGGCAATCCATCACCATCGTCACTTTAGATCGTAAATCAGCACCGGTAGCTTGTAGAAGTGTATTCTTCCTGGCGAGTTTTCAGTCGTGTTCGAGCATCCAAATACGCAGCAGTTCTTTCTCGACGCCGCTGAAGGCTGTCACAATTATAAAATTGTGATGGACAAATGCAAGTATCAAAGAAACTACTGTGGTCGCCTAGACGCTCACAGAAACACTGCTCGCGCCAGTGCGCTTACGCTTCCGAGCCGCAGCAACAAGTAGCATCGGCGCTGCTTTGCGCAATGCCTATTGTTTCGTTTTCTGCTGGTGCAATGCTTCCTCACAAAGTTTTTCAGCTAGTTAATACGGGACGCGACAGAACAAACTGCGCTCAACTGCATTTCAAATATGACGTCTTAGACAAGACAACATGTCAGGCTGATAACTGTCAGCACGTTGTGTCGGGCAACCATGATGGAAACCTGGAGCATCATTTGCAGCGGCACCACAAGGAAGTGTACGACATAATTCTGGCCAACAAAGCCAGCTCTACAAAGCGTGTTGTGTCTGACGATGCGAAGGCTGTCCTGCAGTAAAGCTCAGGCAAGTTTATACACAGAGCATGTTTCAACTTACAATGTCGAAGTGTGTTTCATTTAAGATAACAGAAGACAGCATTATGAATTGTTGCATTGAGCCAGTCCTGAAAAATGGTTGGCCATTACGGCTAATTGATGACCCTGGCTATCGCAAAATGATTGATCCTGTTCTAAAAGCGCTCAGTGCTAAGTGAGCCATCACAGCTGAGACTGTTAAGGACAGGGTCTAGAAACAAGCCAACAGCAAGAGGGAAGAAATTTCGCAGACGCTGAGAAAACAGAGGTTTTCTTTGAAAACTGGCTGCACGTCGCGACTTCACATGGCTCTGCTTGCCGTCAACATACAGTATGCCGAAAAAGGAAAGTTAATTCTTCAACCACTGTGCCATGAAGGAGCTTTTCGCTAGACACACTGCTGAGCATGGGTTTGATTAGGAAGCTAGGGCTAACGAAGCTATCGATTGCTCGACATGTTAGATGTCAACGTTGGTCATGTTGACCAGGTTCGTTGAATTGAAGGGCTTTGCTAAAGACTTTCTCCCCCTTGACCAGACCGCCAGTTGGACTGAAAGCATGTGGGTAAAAGTAGAAATGATTATAGAATTCCTACATGCGGCACAAGAAGCCACAAAAATGCTTCAGGCAGAACAACTGACCATCGGAGATTTCTGCGGTGTGTGTTTGACGTATTCCATGAAGACAACAACAATATCGTCGCCACTGGCACAGACCTTATTCAGCAAATGGAGAAACGAGAGGGAAATCTTTGCGGTACGGATATCTTTTGTGCTGCTCTGTACATGAACCACCGCTATCGCCGTCTTCTAACACCCGATCGAAAACATCAAGTGAGAACGCACTTGTGCAAAACCTGGAAGCGTATTACACGCCTTCAGCGAAATCAGCGTAGTAGCTGCTTTCCAGAGAGCGCCACTGCGCCAACTTCAGGAGGAACCTGTAACGCCCTCGAGGCATTTTTCAAAACGAAGGAAGCTGTAGTTGGCTCTCAATCGCATTCGACGCCAGGATCAGCAGACATAGCATGCTTACTGGAAATGCTGGACAAGAAGCCGCGGATTCTAAGAAGCACGAATGTGTTGATATTTTGAAACGAGCGCAATTAACGGCATCCGCAGCTATACATGTTAACACAAGTGGCCCTTGGTGTGCCAGCCACACAAGTCGGCATAGAGAGGGCATTTTCGACATTGAAGTTTGTTTCGGCAAAGCAGTGGTCTCGCTTATCGGCGAGTACACTCATGACCTGCTACTTTTGAAATCTTGTGCCTTGAGGAAAAATAAAGTTTTTGTTGTAGCCTTGCTTCAAAATTTTTGGCGGCTTCCCACATACTCATATCGTGGCTTTCTGATGTAGAACCCCAACAGTTAATAATATGTGGCAGTGAAAGGTGGGTACTAGACACTAAGCGCAGGCCATAAGAGAGTGCGTGCATGCCGCTCCTTCAGTCCGGCCGTGTGTAGCCCATGGCCTCCAAGACGGTGGGCGCGTGGCTGGTTTCTTTCCGGCCGTCCCAATCGCACAGAGAGAGCGTGTTTCCAGAGGCGGGCGTGGCCTGCCCTTTTCTCCGCATCGTGTATGGTCGAAAAGGCTGCGGCGCTGTTGGTGAAGCGTGCATGTGGTGAGAAAAAAATAGTTTTGCGCTTTTATATAACTCCGCACTCATTTGGGAATGTCAGGCCAAGGTGTACAAGAGGGAAAGTCAATGCTTGGGCATATATATTCTCAAATGTGCTTTCTTTTAGTCTAGATTTGTGCTGCACATACAAGTGCGATGCCTCTACAAGAGATCCACATGTGCTGTACTTACTACTCCGAAGCTAGCGGGCTGTATAGTTTAGGGGGCTCTGGCGGAGAAAATATAAGTGACAGCCCGGTCCGCAAGCGAATTCAGAAGAGTGCTGCCGACTATGCTCGTGGGTTGTACTCGATCGAATATATAGTTTCCCTTTTCTCTCCTTTCACTAAACTAGCGCTGCTTTTTATTGTAACACCATATCCAGAATTCTTACACGCATGTTAATTTAATCACAGCGGCGCAGTGGTCACGGTGTGAACGGTTGCCCATTCGCGCTGCGAGTTGTACGGTGTTTAGTGGATATCTTGGGTAATGTAAGAACGAACATCGAGATTTTTTGCGGGTTCAAAAGTAGCGCTGGACGCATTCAGAGTTTGGTGTATCTGGTATGAAACATAGCAGTGACAATTTACACTTCTTCCTTCGCTAGTCTACCTTGACGAACACGTTTCAGAAAGAAGCCGTTCTGCCGCATGTGCGACCCTTTGATTTGGATGCAGTCGAGAGCACAGTAGATGAACCCGATGCTGGTATTGCCGTTGTGCTATCAAAACATAATAAACAAAACAGATGACAAAAAAGGAGACTGACAACTCTGGCACTTTCTCTGCGAAAGACGTGAGGAGTAAATATATGTCGGCTAACCAAAGCCTTCCACAATATTGTGGCAAAATTACTTTTCACCTTATTTCAGTAATACATGGGCACTCACTTAATTAAGCGTAACTGCACTTCGATTGACTACCTCATAAATATCCGTACGTGATATAATACTAATATGATGTGTCTTAATACGAGGGCAATATGATTGAACGACTATAATTAGCCCAGTTTTCCCTAATCCACATCTCCAGAAAGGAGGAATGCTAGAATGCATCTATATTTCTCAAATCGAGGTATTTAGCACCGAGATAAATGGACCGTAATGGAAAAAAATAATTCTGCAGTTGCCATGCTTTTCTTCATAAATTTGACTATAATTTATGCAGTAACAGAAAAAGAAGTACTTGCCTTCAGTGCAGCTAAAAGATTCTGGCCGTGACTTTTGCTCATATGCGAAAAATAAACGCACTCTGGATTTCCGTGCGCTCTCCTCTCTGCCGCGACCTCTGCCACCGCCGGAATCTGTGCCCTCTCGTGGTAGCCGGGCGTGCGAGGCGATACTTGTTCGTTTTACTGGGGAGCGCAGCGATTGGGACGATTGGAGAGAAAACGGCAGCACTCTCTATTTCGGAGGCCAAATGTAGCCAGCCGTAGTACTCCAAGTGCTCACTAGATAAGGCTCTGGCGCTTGCTCCTCCCAATGCGTAGGAGACGCATGCTTTAGTGTCATGGGAGACCACTAGATGGTGCATCTGCACTTTCATTGGATGGATGCCCTCGCTCCGATGTGTGCTAGCGTGATAGGCGACTGCTTTGTGCCACAACTATAAAACGTGTTCGCTTTTGCCGTGCTTCCCCTTTCGCTTAGCAGTTGGCACGCTTCGAGAATCAGCAACGCAGACAAGGCAGCGGAGAGCTCGGGAAGCTGGGGCAGTGCATGCTCACACATGCCATCTCATCTTTGTGAACTTTCCGCTATGGCTAATCCAAGAACCACGCTCCTTTCACTTTACCGACCATAAAGCAATATGTCTCGCTACAATTTACAAATAAGATCACATTGTATATGTATACAGTTTTTCTCACGTCTTTGATGATCGACTGGGCAAAATTCACGGAGAATTCAGTTTACTGATGTCCCTCTGAAGCTTCGCCCACTCATTATCATTCACTCCGTGGATATGCTGCGGTTGTTTTATTCAAGTTTCATGCAGTCGGCATGTATACGTTGCGGGAAAACAAAAAAATTGGCCCCGTATCTGCATGTTACACTGCAAATGTTGTCGAAAGACAATAGTCTTGCGTCTAGAGATAGTGAACAAAACGTTTGTTTGATGTTCTGCGCAACAAAATCAGTGAATGATATTGAGTGCCTCGAGCGTGCAGTGGAGAGTGCCTCGAGCGTGCAGTGGAGGTGAACGAGCGCATCAAGTCGCGCCACACGTGAGACATGAGCAGTATCTAGCAGATGTCTTGGAAAACGAAGAGTGCGGCCTGTGCACTCGTCTTGGAGGTGATAAGGTGTAGAACGCAAGGCGATGGGGAGGTGCCACTACGGTGTTGTCTTAGCAAAGCGTTAGAAACACTTGCCTTTTCGTGCAAGCGTTGCATGGTCAGCGCAGCGAGATAAACGCTACGCCCCTTAGATATACTTATGTATGCTTTTTTTAATAAAAATACACACATGCAGAATATTGATGTGTTGTTATAATGCCTCATATATGTGCAATAATAGCTTTTCAATTAATAATCGCACAAGTTTGAATGCTGAATCTTGAGCAATATTGGTGGGCCCTGCGGTTGAGGTCGGCCCTTTGGGGTATCGTTTGGTGCCGTTTAGGGTATCATTAAGGGTACCGTTAAGATAAATGTACATACAGATGGACCAAAATTTTTGCGTCGAAGGTCCCTAAGAAAGACTATCGTCTTTAAATGTAACCAAATACAATTAGCTGTAAAAAAATGTGATTAGTTTTCCGGTACTAGGTTACAAAAGCAGGCGATGAATTGCTAAAACACAAGTGATCGCATTTACGTGGCTTTTCTCCCCATTTCATGTGCCAAGCATTTCTTTGTCAGAGTAGTTTTGACATGATCTTGATGCGGATCGAAAGCTTTCACTTTAAAGAAGCCCTGCCAGCAACACCAGGGTGTACTTTTGCTATGTTGTCCACCTTGCTTAATGACAGGGTCTAACATGGCCAGTATTGCTTGTGGGTAGATTTGTGCATTTGGCTAAAGTTGCAGCAGCACATTTTACGAGCATTGGAGTGCCCACTTTCTGAAGTGATTAGCTTGGTGCTCCGGCCTGTTCATAACTATGTGTATGACATGTATACTTGCAGGTCTATACATTTCTGCTGGGACAGTCGTAAACAGAATATTCTCTTAATTTCAATACTTGCATGCCTACGACTACACTTTCTTGCTTTACATATTCACAATATTCTTAACAAACGTCCATTATGAACTTGCATCTCGAGGCTAACATCTAACCACTTATACGGAATGGTTTCTAGGCTGAAATGTTTATCCCGGCTCTTGCCAAATACCCCAAGCTACATAAGTTCATCCACCATCCAACTCTGATTAATTATAATAAATCAATACTTCAACAACCCTGCCATAATAACACTTACAAGTATTCTTTATTTCTGCACACCACTTCCCATTGGAGTATACTGCCTGCTGATAGTGTAAACTGCTCATCTATGAATTCATGAGAAGCATTCAGAATTTAAAATTGGAAAGGTAAAAAAAAAATATTCAGTGTCATTAACATTACATACGCAACCTTGTAAGTCTGCAAAGTTGCTATAATGCTGTTTCCTGTTTATATGAATACCTTGTGTCTGTACAATGTGCATATTTCTTGTTCATTTCGTATGTGCTAATACTCGTTGCTCTGTACATACGGTTCCATTTTTTCTTAAATTTTTTTGTGTAATCAAGTTTACCCACTCCTGCATGGGCCCAAGAGGAGCCTGCATTATGTGAAATAATACTAATAAAATCGCAGACAGTTTTGTTAGATACCATGAGCTTTCAGAAATTGAAGCCTTGTTTGTATTGGACATAAATTTTGTACTTCAGCATTTGCCTCATCTGTGCAGATGTCTTTTTTGTGAGTTGCAAATTTGCCTTGCACCCACTTTTGAGATGTATTTACGAACTCTTTGTGTACAAACAATTATCTTCTAGGTTGATGAAGGGCAAAGAGCTCGACAAACAGAGAGACATCAAGGAAGTTCAGAGAGACCTCTGCCTCATCAGATCTCCAGCTGCGATGCTCAAGAAGAAAGAGCAGGCAATTGTGGAAGTTATCGAAGAGCATTCTGACCAAGAGGAAATGGCAGTGGACTGACACTGTGTAAACACCATGGTGTACACCAAACGGGCAGTCATTTAGCTGGGACTCGACTACAGCCTGCACTTTACCAGTGACGGAAAACTATATAATGCTTCCTTGTTGGATATGCACTGTTACTTGAATGTACCAAGCCTGCCTAAAGTACAGCCTTGCGGCATATGTCTATAAATAAAGGAAGAAAAAATTTTCACCCGTAACTTTGAATTTTAGAAATGCTTCAACGGCTTTGGCTGGAAATTGCTGCTATCTGTGTTGCTCTGCAGCATGACATAGATGACTTCAGCAACAAAGGGATGTGCTCTAGTACTATGTAGATATAGCTTGGTACTGTTACTCAAACAGTAGACTTTACATCGCAGGGATCATATTTATCTAGATTTCACCTCCTTTACAAATTTTAAGTGCAAAGCACTTCTTAACGAACTTCGGCGACTTTGACCGTATCTATCTATCTAGCAGCCTACGACTTTTAGCTCTCCTGACCATTTCGATTATGGTATCGATACCAAACTTGGTATGGTACATGACTGTATGAAGAACATATTTGACCAGTCATAACGTGAAACTCGTGACATATATATCATCATCTACATTTCATGGTCCTGCAGCTCTTGCGGTGGTTTCGTTCACATGGCATGTTGCAAAACTGGTATGGTATGACATGCTTGTATGCAAACACAAGCGACAGACCCTAACATGAAAATCATGAGATGCGTGTCATGTAACAACATGACTACATGCCACACTCTTGATGCGCTGGTGGCCGTTTCGCTAGCTTCACTTATACCGAATTTGGTAATACAGGACGTGAATGGATGACAAAAGTATGATACTGGTGCAAATATAAGCATGAGATGCGTGTCATATAACAACATCACTACATGCTACTCTCATGCTGCGCTCGCGGCCGTTTCGCTAGCTGAAAATGTACCACTAGGTATTACGCAACGCGAACGGACAACATAGGTAAATCACATCCAAACATTATAATCACAACATGCGTGTCATGTAACAACATGACTACATGCCACACTCATAATGCGCTCGCAGTTGTTTCTGTTTCGCTAGCTTCACATATGCCAAACTTGGTATAACGTGACGCCAATGGATGACGAAGGTGACTGGTGCAAACATAATAGTCATGACATGCGTATCATGTGAGAACATGACTACATGCCACAGTTAAGGCGCCAATACACTTTGACGTGACGCGGGGCGCGTGCTTGCTGGCGTTCATTTTGTCGCGTCAAGCCAGGCACTGGTCCTGCCATATACTCGCAGGCGCGTGCTGCATTGCTTTGATGCATGCGCGTCCGGCGTCCCTCCGTCACAAAAAGAGGGAGACGCAGTGTTGTATGGGTAACGCATCGGCGCGAAATGCATCATGTCACATTTCGCACCGGTTGCCGTCGAGCCGCAACGACGAAGGCTGGTCACGTCTGGCGTCAGACTATAGAGTGCTCGCAATTTGCTAACGTAGCATCAGTGTGCGCGCGCGTCAAGGCTACATTGGAGTATATTGGGCCCTTCATGATGCGGTCGCTGCAGTTTTGCTAGCTCCACATATACCAAATTTGGTGTTACCTGACGTCAATAGATGGATGAAATATATGACTGGTGCAAGCATGATAGTCCTGACACGCATGTCATGTAAGAACATAACATTCCACGCTCATAGCGTGCTCGTGGCTGTTTCTAGCTCCACCTATACTAAATTAGGTATTACGTGATGAGAATAGATGACGAAGGTAAAAGACACATCCAAACACGATAATCATGACACGAAAGTCATGTAGGGCATCATTTACCCCCACCTCGTAACGTTGTGCTGATTTTAAAGTGACATATCAACATTTCCCATTCATGCATGGCATATCATAGATTCCCTCTGTACATGGGATCTGCCAATTTTTTTTCTTAACCGAGTATCTATGCTGCACATCAAAAAAGACTTTGGTTACTTCAGCAATATTTTAAGTGTTGCGACAACTGTTTGATGTTTAATGCATTCTAAGCAGCATTTAAATTTTGTTAGGCTAAATAAGGAGTGGGTAAACGCACACGCATTTCTGATACAAAAGAACTGCTTAGGTTTTATTAGATTGAGAAGAAATGCTTAAATTTTAGTAGCTTTTTTTTTTAACACGAAAGTATTTTATGCCGGGTTCCACCACGGCTCCGCTGATGTATTTCCATCACAACGACTTTGTAAAATCTATACTGACAGATTGCAAAGAAAACACGAGAAGGATAAGTTCTCAGCGTAACGTCGAACCAGCAACCTCTTGCAGCTGAGCGCGTGACGCTAGTCACATAACGAACCTTCTCCATATTGTAAAGACAAGCCATTTATTTATACACGCCATGTACTGCTGGCGGTCCTCAAAGCTAAGCAGCTTCAGCTGATTTTCGTCGTCAGTAGCGAGATGGCACGACAATTGTGTGTTGGGCTCACGCGCTCCAAGGTCGTCGTGCTGCACCACACTGGGCGTTGCTGTGCGCGTGTGCCTCCACATGACATGGTTAATGTGGGTATAGATGTTCTTTAGCGTGGCGGCTCAATCGCGTGCGTTCTAATCAAGTTTCGGGTGCTTGGTACCTCCTGTGCTTCCACCACTCATTCATCTTTCTGTTTGAGCAGCCCGCTTCAAGTGTCGAGTGTGACAGCCGTTTCTCTGCGCTCTTCCTGTGTATGCTCATTTAACTCATGCTTTCTGCTTGAGGAAGCAGAGAGGTGTGGCTTGCTATTCTTCATGTCGCGTTGCAATTATTTGCTGTAACATTCACTCTTTCGCCCTTGTGGCGAAACAACACATAATGAATGCTCGACTACCTCTGAAAAAACATGGTTCACTTGCGTGTATTACCAATTCCTAAGAAAGAGGGATTAGCCAGCTTTTTTAATTTTGTGCAGACATATTATTGCGGCATTGAGCTCATCATGTGTAATGAAAACTGATACACTGATGAGCGAGTAATATCTTTTTTTGTAGCATATTGCACTTCTATCGAAACAAACATTTTCAGTAAGCAAGAGATCCTAATAATTCAGTATTAGAGTGGAAAAAAAAATACAGCAGTGTCTAGTAATAAAAACCTGTTATTTTAAATACAAAACCTCTCGTGTCCCCTGTCCACTTTATACACCAAGTGAGCGTGACTCTCTTTGTCGACATTAAATGAAGTAGTCATTGACAACACACAGGAAGCAGTCACTGACAACACACAGTGCCCATTTAAAATACGAAACAAATCATTGCAAATAGAACATGGCAATTTATTTCGCGGTACTTTTAAGTGAGGGTATAGGAGATGGGGGAGGAGGTGGTTCTAAAATTGTGGTGAATTTAACTTCAGAACAGCTCAGTACGCTACAGCGAAACATGAAGAAATGAGTTGATGGGCTTGTTTTCTTTGTTAGACACAGTATCAATGAGAACAGACAGTAACGCCAGGGAAAGCATAGGGGATGTTATTGGAAGTAACTAACGCAAATATGAAGAAAGAAACATGGACAGAAAGATATTGAAACGTGCTACCGAAGATTCGACGAAGAGGAAGAAGAGACTCGACTGGCTCGCGAGCGACGCTGTTTATCCTTCGCTGAGCTACACCTTTGCATTACCCATTTTGTAAATAAACGCGTTCTATCGTCACAATTGTGGTGGAAGGTGCTGGGTAAGCTAGCTACTACCAAGTGATACCGGAGAGGCACCGTCCCCTAACGACGGAACCGCTACACGAGCTTCGCCGCAGCCGTCGACTAGCGGGCTTGGCACCATTACCTCAAGAAATGAGCTCGGACGGAGGCAACCAGCCGCAAGGACGTCGCCCTGCCACTACAGGGAGCCGCGAACCTTCACAGGGAAACCCGGCGATGACGAGGACGAATGGCTAAGCCACTATCAGCGGGTGAGCCGTTCGAACGGTTGGAATGCGGCTAGCCAGCTGTCTCACGTGGGGCTCTTCCTCGATTTCACGGCGCTGGTATGGTTTGAGAACCATGAAGACACATTGACAACCTGGGACCAGTTTGTGGAGGAAATTATGAAATGCTTTGGAGACCCAGCAACGAAGAAGAAACGTGCCGAGCAGACGTCGCAGAGGGCTCAAGTCACCGGTGAGACATGCAGAACCTACATTGAAGAGATTCTGAAGTTGTGCAAGTCGGTGGATGCCCACATGACGGAAGAAGACAAAGTGGGCCATATACTCAAGGGCATCGCCGATGACGTCTATTACTTCCTCATTGGCAAGGAGAGCCTGGAATGCGTGGCCGACGTGATTAACCATTGCCGAACCTTCGAGGCTCTTAAAACTCGTCGCATCACATAGAAGTTCGGACGTCTGGCCAACGTCACGACTGTTGCCACCGTCGATGTCTGCCAAAATCCTCTACCTGCCGACTTCTCCTCCACCATTCGTCAGATTGTACGGGAGGAACTGCGTCGCCATGTCTCTGTTCCCATGCAAGCTGGAGACCTGCAGTGTGATACACTATCTTCAAGCATCAATGCTGCGAGTTTCAACGAGCGCAGTTACTCCACCCGCAGTTCACGGCTGAGGGCTCCGCCACCACAGGCTACTTACGTCGAGTCGTCTTATGCGCCCCGCAGGAGTTGTAGCTACGACAGCCAACCGCCTCCGTTTGTGTCCGAGTGGCGACAGTTCCCTGAGCATCCTATCCACACCGCAGCATTCAATGTGCCTCGGGGGACATATCGCCCGGTTTTGCCCATCGCGACGTCGCCCACGCACGACGTTTTCTGACCGACCAGCGATGCTTGCACGGCAAAGCCAACAGCCCGATTACGCCTACTGGCCTTCGGATTCAACTGCCCAGAAGCACGGGCACCGGCCGAACATCCGTAGTGACTCGCCTGCCTCTGTGAGGAGCTTGACGCCACCTACTACGCGCCAGCGACGGTCCCCATCTCCTCATCCCCGGCCGCGGCTTTCCTCTCCGCCACCGGGAAACTAGCCGGCGCGGCCGATGGAGGCGAGGTCGCTGGACGTACCGCTTTGCACACAAGTATGCCTCCATTAGTTCACATGCTTCACAACAAGGTTCATGTATTCATTGACGATGTTCCCACGATGGCTCTGGTAGACACCGGTGCAACAGTTTCTGTAATGAGTTTAGTTTTCAAGGAGAGACTTGGCCGCAAGGTTATGTTTTATTGGGATAAATCTTCTA